TTGCGTACATCAAGGACCCAACGAGCTCGGCATAGGGGTGGGGGGAGGAGGTGGGGGAGGTGGGTGGAGCGAGTTGGTGACCGAAGGGGAGCAGGGTGGAAACAGGCTTGGCTTGCGCCATGTCGAACTTCTCCAAGACCTGGCCGATGTAATGGGACTGGGAGAGGGTGATTGTGCGAGCAGGGCGGTTGCGCGTGATGGTCATGCCGAGGTAGTGAGTGAGGGCGCCAAGGTCCTTGCACTTGAGCCGCTGCTGCAGGGACAGCTTCACCTGCTCCATGTCGGCCTTGGTGTCAGAGAGCAGGATCATGTCGTCGACATATACCAGAATGAAGAAGCGGCGGGGGGAGGAGCGGATGAAGAGGCTGGCGTCGGAGTGGGAAGCAGAGAAGCCGAGGGACCCCAAGGTGGCAGCCAGCTTCGCATGCCACTCACGTGGTGCCTGCTTCAAGCCGTAGACGGGGCGACGCAGCTGCCAGACAGTGTTCTCAGGAAAGGCTGCGTGGAACCCGGGGGGTCGCCGGAGGAAAATGCGCTCATGCAGGTCGCCCTGCAGGAACGCATTGGAGACGTCCATGGAGTCGATTTCCATGTCGTCACGTGCACCAATGTCCATGGCGGCGCGAAGGGTGGGTGGTTTGGCGGTGGGGGCGTAGGTGAACCAGTAGTCCTCAGCCCAAGTCTGCGTGAACCCCTTGGCGCAGTAGCGGGCCTTGTACACTGGTTCCTCGCCCGGCAGCTGCTTCACCCGAAAGACCCATTTGCCGTCAACGAGATTAGCGCCAGCAGGGAGGGGGACATCGACAAAGGAGTCGTTGCGAATGAAAGCCTCACACTCCAGGAAGATCGCTGCTATCCATTTATCCGCATCAGGGCAGGTGATGGCTTCCTGGAAGGTGGAGGGAGTGAAGATGGTGGGGGTAGTAGTGGCGCCAAGGACAGGAAAGCCCAGGAAGTCAAGGTAGAGGGCGGCAAGGAATGGAGTGTGCTCCCGAATGTTGAGGAACTCCTCATGGGAGTCCTCAAGGAGCTGAAAGGAGGCAGGAGGAGGAGCCCCAAGGATTTTGTCCACCGAGCGGGTATGGATGTAAGGGAGGAGGAAGGGGGAGGAGCGGGAAGTGGCACGGCGCCGCTGCTGCTGCTGGTGCTGCTTCTGCTGATGCTGCTGCTGCTGCTGCTGTCCCGGCTGCTGCTGATGCGGCTGCCCCGGCTGCTGCTGCTGCTGCTGCTGCTGCTGCCCCGGCTGCTGCTGCTGCTGCCCCTGCTGCCGTTGCTGGTGTTGCTCCCGCTGCTGCTGCTGCTGCTGCTGCTGGTGCTGCTGCTGCCCCTGCTGTTGCTGATCCGGCTGCTGCTGCTGCTGCTGCTGCCCCTGCTGTTGCTGATCCGGCTACTGGAAAGGAGGAGAATGAGAGGAGGAGGGAGAGGGGGGAGGGGGTGCAGCTGAGTGAGCGGGGGAGGCGGGTGCGGCAGGGTCGTAGACGTCGGCAGAGGAGGAAGGCGGGAGTGGAGCGGCGACAGGTGGGAGGAGAGGCGCTGGACGGATAAGAGGCGGGAGGATGGTGTCGGTCCAAGCGAGGGGGCGAGTGGGAGGAGGGAGGGGGTCAGGAGGAGGGGTGGAGTAGTAGGGAGTGGACTCGTCGAAGACGACGTCAATGCTGCGGATGAGGCGATTGATGGGAGGGTGGAGGAATAGGTAGCCTGGGGAATCACGATTGTGCCCAAGGTAGACGCACTCCAGAGCGCGAGGAGCGAGCTTGCCAGCAGCGCGGGAGCGGTCGGCCGGTGGAATGAGGACGAACGCCTTGCAGCCCCAAACACGAAGGCCTGCGGCGTCAGGCTTGGCCTTGGACCAGAGTTCTGTGGGGGAGGAGGAGGGATGCTGAGGGTGGGAGCGGAGATTGAGGAGGAGGGCGGCATGAATGAGGGCATAGCTCCAGAGGGAGGGAGGGGTGGAGGCGTGAGCAATGAGGCAGCGCGCAATCTTGGTGATCTCACGGATGCGACTCTCAGCGATGCCGTTTTGCTGAGGGGAGTGGGGAAGGGTGGTGGTCTGCTGAATGCCGTATGTTTTGCAGTAAGTGGAGAGAGTATGATTGATGAACTCACCCCCACCGTCAGAGTGAAGGCGGCCTATGGGACGTTTGAAGTGGTTGCGGCACTGCTCAGCCCAGTTGATGACCACAGCCGGCACCTGGTCTTTCGTGTGAAGAAAGAAGACGGTGGAGTACCGACTGTGGTCGTCGACGAGCACGAGCATGTACCTGTGCCCCTGACGGGAGCGGATGGGATAAGGGCCCCAGAGATCCATGTGAACAAGGTCAATGGGGGCGGGAGCGAAGGTGGGATGACTGTGATGGGGGGACTGTTTGAGCTTGCCATGAATGCATGATGGGCATGGGGGAGCAGGGGAGGAGGGGAGGGGAGGTAAGGTGGGAGGAAGGCTGTTAAGGAGGCGAGAGGTGACGGTGGAGCGAAGTGCGGCGAAGTTGGGATGGCCGAGTCTGTGATGTAGGAGCACTGCAGGATGGGAGAGGGCAGTAGAGGAGGAGGGGGATGGGGTGGGGGAAAAGTTGGGGGGGGAGGAGGAGGCGGATGGAGTAGAGGAGGAGGATATCGGAGGAGGGAGAGGGGGAGGGTGAGGGGGAGGGAGAAGGGGACCGGTGGAAGTACCAGCACGAGTGGTGACGTGACAAAAGGAGGGACGGGGTGTGCGGAGCGTGTAAAGGCGAGTGCGAGGGCAAAGGGGAATGCGCAGGAGGAAACGACCAGAGGCGGTGTGGTAGAGATCGCAGTAGGAAGCAAAGCCAGGGTATATGGCGGTAATGCCAACGCCTTGGAGTTCACGGTGGGAGAGGAGGTTATTGCGAAGGGTAGGGATGTGGAGACCGGTGACTGTACCGGATGGGAAGGCGGTGCAAGGAAGGGTGGAGAGGTGAGTGCAGGGGATGGAAAAGCTGGAGTCGGCACCATGACCCTGGGTGGGAAGTGGAAGGGGGGTGAGGGTGCCAGCGTCTTTTAGTGCGGTTTCGGTGGCCCCACTGTCAAGGACAAAGTCCAGGGTGGGGGGGGAAGGAGAGGGAGGGAACACAGAGTACTGGAGAGTTGTTTCATGGATAGAAGAGGGAGAGAGCGGCGGGTGCTGCTGCTGTAAGTACTGTTGCTGCTGCGGCTGCTGCGGTGGGAGAGACTGTGACGGTTGCGGCTGGAGAGATTGGGCTGCTGCTGCTGCTGGAAGCACCGCCGATGCTGCCGCGGTTGCTGCGGCTGGAGAGATTGTGGTGGCTGCTGCTGCTGGAAGCACTGCTGCTGCTGCGGATGGAGAGAACTGTGGCTGGTGCTGCTGCTGGAAGCACTGCTGCTGCTGCGGCTGAAGAAACTGTGGCTGCCGCTGCTGCTGGAAGGACTGCTGCTGCTGCGGCGGAAGGAACTGTGGCAGCTGCTGCTGCTGGAAGCACTGCTGCTGCTGCGGCTGAAGAGACTGTGGCTGCTGCTGCTGCAGGAAGGACTGCTGCTGCTGCGGTGGAAGGAACTGTGGCAGCTGCTGCTGCTGGAAGGACTGCCGCTGCTGCGGCTGGAAGGACTGCTGCTGCTGGGGATGGAGAAACTGTGGCGGGTGAGGCTGGAGAGATTGCGGCTGCTGTTGGTGTTGGAAGAACTGCTGCTGCTGCGATTGCCGCGGCTGGAGGAGATGTGGGGGGTGCGGCTGGAGAAATTGTGGTTGCTGCCGCTGCTGGAAGTCCTGCTGCTGCTGATGCTGGAGCTGCTGGAAACGCCGCAGATGGGGAGGGGGGGAGGGGGTGAGCAGGCGGAGATAAGCGGGGGGGGAGGAGTGGAGGGTCGGAGTGTTGAGAAGGGAGGGGCGAGGAGTAACACTGCTCCAGTGAGGAGGGGGGAGAGGGGCAGGGGGGGTAGCAGTCATGATGGGCAACGGCGGGTGGACCCGCGGCGGCCAAGGGTGAAGTTGCTGCTGCGGAGGCTGCTGCACTTCCCCTGCTGCCGCTGCTGCTGCCGCTGGCAGGAGGAGGGAGGGGGGGGGGGGGGGGGGGGGGTAAAGGAGGGAGACAGCGGTGGAGGGCAGAGGCGTTCAAGGTGCAGGGAGCGACGGTGACAAGGGCGCAGGCGGCTGTGCGAACGTGCGGCGGCGGGAAGGGGAGGCGGTGGCAAAGTCGGGGGCGGCGGCGGCGAGCAGGCCGCGACGACGAGGGGCGCAGGCGACGGCGGAAGGGCCGCGGCAGCGAAACGAGGGACGGCGGCGGCAGGCAGGCCGCGGCAACGAGGGGCGCAGGGGGAGGGGGAGGGGGGGGGAGAGGAGTAGGGAGAGGAGGAAGGGAGGGTGCAGTTGCGGCTGAATCTGCAGGCGGCGACGGGGCAGTCACGGCGGCAGGAAGTGTGGGCGGGGATGGCGCGGTCGCGGTGGAGGATGGGCAGGCGGCGCCGAAGCAGTCGCGGCGGTAGGGCGGCGGCGGCGCAGTGGCGTTAACGGGAACCGCGGGGCGAAGATGTTGCAGTTGCGGCGGGGGAAATTGCGGGAGGGTGGCGATGAAGAAGGGGCAGCGAGATGCGTGGGTGACGCGGAAGCAGGTGCGGCGGTGGGAGGGGAGGCGGCAATGCGAAATCGCGGCGGGGGGGGAGGGGGGGGGGGGGGGGGGGGGTGGGGGCGGGGAGGTGACGACGAGCAGTCGCGGCGGCGGGACGGGCAGACGGCGCCGAAGCAGGCGCGGCGGCGGGAAGGGGAGGCGGCGACGCGACGTCGCGGCGGAGGGACGGGCAGGCGGCGACGAGGCGTCGCGGCGGCGGGATGCGCAGGCGGCGCCGAAGCAGGCGCGGCGGCGGGAACGCGGCGACGAGACGTCGCGGCGGAGGGACGGGCAGGCGGCGACGAGGTGTCGCGGCGGCAGGATGCGCAGGCGGCGCCGTAGCAGGCGCGGCGGTGGGAACGCGGCGACGAGACGTCGCGGCGGAGGGACGGGCAGGCGGCGACGAGGCGTCGCGGCGGCAGGATGCGCAGGCGGCGCCGAAGCAGGCGCGGCGGCGGGAACGCGGCGACGAGACGTCGCGGCGGAGGGACGGGCAGGCGGCGACGAGGCGTCGCGGCGGCAGGATACGCAGGCGGCGCCGTAGCAGGCGCGGCGGCGGGAACGCGGCGACGTGACGTCGCGGCGGAGGGACGGGCAGCGGGCAGGCGGCGACGAGGCGTCGCGGCGGCAGGATGCGCAGGCGGCGCCGAATCAGGCGCGGCGGCGAGAAGGGGAGGCGGCGACAGGGGGTCGCGGCGGGGGGGAGGAGGGGACAGCGGCGTTGCGCTCGCGGCGGTGGAATCCGCAGGCGAGGAAGGCGTAATCGCGGCGGGAGGGGGGGGGGAACGGCGGCGACGGCGTAGGTCGCGGCGAGAGTATGCTAGTGATGGCTAGTTGAGCCACGCGTAGGAAAGGGTTTGTAGCTGTGGGGTGGGCCCATGGGAAAAAAAAAAAACTGAAGGGAGGGAGAGGTAAGGCCTAGGAACAAGTAGCTCTATACCATGTGAAAGTAGCAAATTGAACAAGTGATTAGATTAGAGGAACAACCTAGCATACATAGTTCGAAGGGAAGGTTGGAAGGGAAGGATGAAAGTGACCATAGGTTGGGTTGACCTCACTTGGGGAAGTGAGGGAACCATAGGTCAAGTGGGTTGGGTTGCCCACACTTTGTAGAAGTGAGGCAACCCTAGGCCCACTTGGCTTGGGGTAACCTCAATTGTGGGAAGTGAGGTACCCACAAGTCAAGAGGGTTGCATTTGGGGGCTCCACCACAATTGGGTGGATTGGCACCCCAAAGTGCAAGACTACACCCAAAGTTGGGTGTAGTCCCAACCCAACTGTACACCACAATTGGTGTACAGTCACATGTGTTGGCATGCTACACAATATATATTTTAACACAGGCTTGCCACTGCCTCCAAGGACCACACTGCTGTCGTCTGGCAGGTGAGAGTTGCCTCTCTACCGTTTCCCAGCGCACTGAATCTCACCACTGAGGCTCTTAAGATCGCCTCCCCCCATCTTCCATTGTGGCACCAGGCTTGCCACTGCCTCCAAGGACCACACTGCTGTCGTCTGGCAGGTGAGGCTTGCTTCTTTACCTAACTGCACTGCAGCACACAGAATTGCACTCAAAGACACTGACTTGCTCTTAAACTCCCCCATCTCACACGACAGCACCAGGCTGGCTTGCCACTGCCTTGAAGGACCTCACACACCGCTGTGTATGGCAATTGAGGCACTGCTGTACACGCTATCAGCCACTCCCTGCCGCTCTCCTACGTGGCGTGGAGTCCAGACGAATCACCGCTGCTCACAGCCGGCAATGACCTAAACCCCTCTCTCCACTCTCCACCCTCCACCCTCCACCCTCCACTCTACATCCTCCACCCTCCCTACCCTCGCTCCGTTTCCTGACTCAGGTTCTAGACAGTTTCTCCCACCTTCACCTGGACACCCTCTCAGGCCATTCCTTCCCTCTCTCCTACGTCAGTCCAGACACGACTCGCTGCTGCTCACAGCCGGCAACGACCCCTCCTTCCCCTTTCCCTTTCCGTCCACACCCCATCCCTTTTCCAACCCTCCACACCCCATCCCGCCCCACCTTCTTCAGATTCTAGACAGCTTCTCCCACCGCCACCTGCGCACCCTATCAGGTCACTCGCTCCCGCTCTCCTATGTAGTGTGGAGCCCAGACGACTCGCTGCCGGCAACGATCAACCCCTTCCCTCTCTCGCCCCCACCCCCCGCTTCCCTTGTCAGATCGATGACAGCTTCTCCCACCGTCGCCTGCACACCCTATCCGGCCATTCCCTCCCGCTCTCCTACGTGGCGTGGAGCCCAGATGACTCGCTGCTGCTCACAGCCGGCAACGACCCCTTTGTGTGCCTCTGGGATGCCACCACTGGCCGCCTGCTCCGCTCCTTCTCCAAACACCACGACGTAAGTTGCTGCCTTGCTGCCTGCCTGCCTGTCTGCCTGTCCCCCCGCCCGCCCGCCTGCCCGCCCGCCCGCCCGCCCGCCCGCCCTCCCGCCTGCCCGCCCGACCGCCCGCCGGCCTGCCTGCCATCCTGCAGCCCACCGCTCTCCTCACTCCACCACACCTTTTAACTCTCATCTCGCCCCCCTCGTTTCGGTCACCCTTCATTCGTCCATCCCTCTCACAGGCCATTTCCGCCTGTGCGTGGTTTCCCTGCGGGCGGCGGTTCTTGTCAGCATCTGCGGCGACGGATCGCACAGTGTGTGTGTGGGACGTGGAGGGGGTCGAGCTGCCCTCGTGGGGAGGGGTGGGGCGGCACCTGTGGCAGCAGGATGGGGGCGATTTTCCTCGCATCAACGACCTTGCTGTCAGCTCCGACTGCTCCCATGTGGTGAGAGGACTCCCACCACATTCCACCACACCCCACCACACTCCACTGCACTCCACCACCACCACACTCCACCACACTCCACTCCAGTCCCACCACACTCCACTGCACTCCACTGGAATGGGGTGGGGCGGCACCTGTGGCAGCAGGATGGACGAATCAACGACCTTGCTATCAGCTCCGACTGCTCCTGTGTGGTGTGTGCGGGCATGCATGCATGTATGCGTGCGTGCTTGGGGCCGCGCTCTTGGGTCTGTCTGTGCATGCGTCTGCTTGTTCTTTTATGTCTGTGTGTTTCTGTGCGTGTGTATGTGTGCATCTCTTTGCTACCCTCTGCCACTCGGCCATTTTCTTGGCTTGGCCTTTCTTGACTGCCATAGGTGCTCCTCTCTCCTCCTTCTCCTCCGGGTGTCGGTGTGCAATGAGAAGGAGATTCGGGTGCACGAGCTTCCCTCATTAACTACTTCTCACTCCATCCCTCCCTGCTTTCTCCTTTCTCCTCCCTGCGTTTCATACCCTCTTTCCTCCCCCCACTCCAGGTGTCAGTGTGCAATGAGAAGGAGATTCGGGTGCACGAGCTTCCCTCGGGAAAAGAGCATGTGGTGAAAGAGACCAAGTCAATCACGTCGCTCAGCATGTCTGTGGACGGCAGGTGGGCGATGGGGTTGAGTAGAAGGTGGTTTTTCCAAACAGGTGCGTGTCTGGGATGGTTGGAGGGCTGGGATTGAAACGCCTTGTCCAAAGATCACGTGGTGAAGGAGGGACCAGGTCAATCACGCCGCTCAGCATGTCTATTGACGGCAGGCGAACGGTGGGGGTGAGTGGAAGGTGACTTAGGGTACCTCTGAGAACCCCAAAAGTACCTCTGAGAACCCCAAAATAACCCTAAGAGGTGACTTAGGGTACCTCTGAGAACCCCAAAATAACCCTAAGAGGTGACTTAGGGTACCTCTGAGAACCCCAAAAGAACCAGATGGATGTTGGTGAACCTATCTTAAGGAGACATCCTTCTCCTAACCCTTACCACCTCCCCCCATGCTCCTTGTTTCCAATGACTCCCCATCCCCGTCCCCGCCTCCCCCCCTCCTCTTCTTTCCTCCCATTCACATACAACCAGGTAGGTGTTGCTGAATCTATCACCGGGCAAAATCCATCTCTGGTTCATTCAGGACATATATGCTGCCTATGTGGAGAAAGACGCGTCCAGCGTCCTGGACGCATGCGTCCAGACGCTGGGCGCTAGTTTAGGGCCCCCGAGACGCAGCAAAAGACGCAGGTCCGGGCAGCCAAAAAAAACCCCCGGGCAGCCAAAAAAAAAGTTATAGGGCAGAGGGAAGAGGGGGTAAGAGGGGAGGGGGGGGGGGGGGAACACACTTTCATAGCAAAATTTCTCCTCAACAACAAAATTTCAGCCACAACAATAGAACATGAAGGTGAGCCCCAAATTTCCATAATCACAATTAGTCCAAGGGTTGTTTAGCATGCATGCATACTACCACTAACTAACATGCATCACTCATCCTCCTCGCTCTCCATCCCCTTCTCCTCCTCCTTCTCCAAATCCTCCTGCTCCTTGTACTCGTCGAAGGTGAGGTCATCCTCATCCACCTCCACCTCTCCATCCTCCTCAAGCTTGTACCCCTCGGGAAGGGGTCGGGGGGGAATGTTCCCCTCCACTATTCCCGCCTTCCTGACTTCCCCACTCGGCCCCGCACCCGCCGCACCCTTGTGGTGGTTGTGCACAACGTTCCAGTTGTGCGCAACGAACACAAGGTCGCGAACACAAGGAGCTAGCCATAACGGTGGTGCGCGGAAAGGAGCTAAAACCACTAGGGTTTTTGAAAGAGAATTGGGTTGTGAGAAAAGGGAGCACAAATGAGAGGTTTCATGAACTAAATGGGCTTTGTGGGGGTGGTGGACCACAAAGGTTGGGTTTCCTAGTTGTGGAGTGGTGGAGAGGGGTTGGATTTCCAAATCAATTTTGCAAAAAGGGGAGGGGGTTAGGGGTGAATTAGATGGCTGGTTTTGGGGGTCGAATTTGCTTGGGGGGTGTCGAATTTCGGCGAAATTGACATTCGCGACGAAATCGCGAATGTCAATTTCGCGATCGCGAAAAAAAAAAAAAAATCTCGGTCTGCCCGAAAATTTTTCCAGGGTGCGTCCTGCGTCTTTGCGTCCGGACGCTGCGTCCGGACGCAGGACGCAGGGCTGCCCCAGCGTCTTTCTCCACATAGTATGCTGCTAAGCCTCCTCACAGCCAGTGCCTCATGCTTTCACCCCCGCTCTGTATCCCCCGCTCTCTATCCCCCACACTCTATCCCCCACACTCTATCCCCCACACTCTATCCCCCACTCTATATCCCCCAATCTCTCACCAACCAACCAGGTGGGTGTTGGTGAATCTATCATCGGGCGACATTCATCTCTGGTGCATTCAGGACATATGTGCTGCCAAGCCTTCTCACGTCAAGTGCCCCAATGCTTTCACTGTCCTTTTGCACCACTCTCTCCCCCCCACTTTCTCCCCGAAACAACCAGGTGGGTGTTGGTGAATCTATCATCAGGCGGCATTCATCTCTGGTGCATTCAGGACATCTGTGCTGCCAAGCCTCCTCACAGCAAGTGCCCCAATTCTTTCACTGTCCTTCCTCCCCTCTCTCTCCCCCAACCAACCAGGTGGGTGTTGGTGAATCTATCATCAGGCGACATTCATCTCTGGTGCATTCAGGACATCTGTGCTGTCAAGCCTCCTGACAAGCCAGCTTTTTCCTACAGTGGGCAGGTGAGAAATAATGGTCGGGCAGCAGAAGGGGTTGTATCTGCAGGTTGTAGAGCTGTCAGGATTAACCTTTGAAACCACCCAACGATATACACATGCGCATTTCACACGATGCAGTTTGTATGTTAAGCTTTTTTTGTTCCTGCAAGTATGCACACCCTATGCTCAGTCGTCCTATTTGTTTGAGCCATTTATTGTTCATTATGGCAACGCTTCCTTGCCTGGTGGTTCATTCACTTGATTCCTCCCAGGTGCAAGGCCGCTTTGTGATTCGCTCCTGCTTTGGAGGCCATGATCAGCGCTTCATCATAAGTGGCAGTGAAGATGCTCAAGTAAGTGACAACGTTTAAGTAAGCAATAAGGTGAACAATCAATCTCCTAGCCATGCCACAGGTACACACTTTACCCTCCCTCCCCCCCACCCAGTACCTCGCTGGCTTTGGGGTAAAAAAGACTTTTATCTCCCTTTCCTCCTTTTTTGTATGGTGGTTTACACTGTTTACACCATGGTTGTGCCATATGCAGGTGTACATGTGGCATCGCGACACTGGCGAGGTTATGGAGGTGCTTCCGGGGCACTCCGGGACAGTAAACGCCGTCTCTTGGCCGACCACCCGGCCACACATGTTTGCTACAGCCTCGGATGATGGCACTGTGCGCATTTGGGGGCTACCCTCTCTTGTTGCTGGAGGTCTGGGAATGGAAGTGGGAGGTTCGGATGGTGGTATGGGTATGAATGTTGAGACGGATAGGGAGGATGGTGGGGGGAGTGCGATGGTGGGAACGGAGTGATGAAGGTTTCTAAACCCTGGTGTTTTTAGGAAAGCAGCATTCAAACTGGTTCCCAGGAGGGTTGAGGTATGTGTCCCTTTTGTATATGATGAATCAAATGTAAGATATGGACCTAAAAAGAGGTTGTATATGATAGATCTCTGTATTATCTTGTTGCGGTGAGCAATAGTATAGAGATGTAGAGAAGATTTAAGGGATTGTTTCCCTGTATGTTATACAAAATGTTTATGTAGGATGTAGATCGATGACCGTGGCTACAGTGCGGCGGAGGTTCGACATTGGACCCTCCACGAGGCTCCGTTTTCCGTTCGGGTTTGGCCGAAGACAAGGCAGTGAGGGGCAAAGCAGGGTTTTGAATCATTGCGAAGCACACTGTTGGTCAGGCGAACCCATACAGTACAAAAGGACAATGCGGTTTGGATGTTGGAGGGAAGAATCGCGCGAGAACAACCGCCGCCGCCAGTCACTGGGCCACTGGCCAAGGCCAGCTTCGGAAATCGAAATTCTAGGGTTGTGAATATCTTACATTTTTCTAGGGACTGGAGTTCTTGCCTTGCCATAACTTATGGAACGGTGACTTCCAGAAGCTGGTGGTCCAGGAGGTATCGATAAGAGTTTAGGTTTCCCACAGTTGACGGTTTGGTCCTCACACTCTTTAGGTCGTCGTGGTCAAGTAGGTGCAAGGGATACGTTCTGTGTGTTCGCTTCTAGTACTAAAGCGCCACTATATTTCCCTAATCGCTCCACTCCGTGACGGAGCGCCACTAGTGTCGACGCTATTTATGTCCGAATGTACCGCATTGCTCTTCTTAGAAAAACCCCTGTTCTGGTCCGACTGGTGCTAAATTTTTAAATATTATTTCGAGTTTTGGTCCCACTTAGCAAGCCTCGCAGCACGTTTAGATAATCAACCTGTCGAACCGCAGTAACTTTCGAGTTGGCTAGAAAGTATTTATGATTTTGCATCTGGTTGATTTAGTCAGACTTTGCACGCCTGGGAACACCATTGAATAATGGACCTGTCGAACCACCGTATCACGCGAAGCATCTCCACCGAGCTCCAGGCTCGCGCCATGGCTGTTGGTAACTGTGGAGCCGTCAATAACGGTGAGAGTGCTCGATCAGCGTGCGTTAGTTAGTACCCACTGAGTTTCCTTTACTAATTCGTTCTGGTCCTTGTTAGGGTTCTTTCGCTTTCTTACTTATTGTGCTTGTGCATTTAGAACGACATTGAGAGCTTCAAGGCCGCGAACTTCAATTCAATCATTCTAACATTCTCCCCATTACTGCATACACATGTTGCTCAACTGCTGCGCGCGAATTTGCCCTGCACGCGCCAGAAAGTCTGCACCCGTGTATTTTGCGCCAGCCAGTTGCACTGACTATGAACCAATATTAACCACAGAAACCAAAGTCAAACTGAAGAGACCGAAGTAAAAAAATCAACGAGAAGTTACAATCTCTTTATTAGCCCTTTTTTGCTAGGTGTGACGTTGACGAAATTTGCGAAATGCCGAAAATCACTTAAAAGCCCCCTTCACAAGGCAACCTTGGGTTAGTCAAACGAGCATCATCTGTACTCCCATTCCATTCAGCCTCAGGAGATCCTTCGACCTCCATGTCCCCTGAAGACCTCTTCGTCCGCTCTTTCCTAGACAGCACCGCGGCTGCTGGTTTCGCTGCTGATGGCGGTGCTGCTGGTGCCGCTGCTGCTTCCGCTGCTGATTCTGCCGCTGGCACTGGTGCTGCTGGTGGCGCTAGCAGCGCAGACGGCTCTTCCCCGTTAAGCTTTGGGACTGGAGAGCAAGGGCGTGCGGGGTTGGGAACTCAGGGGGGAACTGGTGCGGGAGAAGCTGGAGCGGGGGGAGACGGGAAGGGGGAAGCAGGCATGGGTTCGCCTTTGCCTTTTCCGACCTTAAACGTATGGGGAGCAGCAGCAGGACGAGGGGCAGGCACGGCAGGGGCAGGCATGGCAGGAGGCGCAGGCATGGGAGGAAGAGCAGGCGTGTCAGCTTCAGCGGTGTACCCTTCACCGAAGCTCAGTCGCCTCAACAGCGAGGAGCTCTTCCAGAGCTGGCTATCCGCTGATGTAAGTTGCTGCAAGGAACTGCTAGTCGATTGTTGAGTCGACCAAAAGAACGGCTTATCACACAGCGATGAGCTCTTCCAGAGCTGGCTATCCGCTGATGTAAGTCTCTGCAAGAAACCACTAGTCCTGAAAAGATCTTCCTTCTTTTGTTCTTCAAAGTCATGAAATGTAAGTGATAAATCGGTTCTTATTGAGGCCCAGCAGCAGCTCTTCCAGAGTGTGTATATCCATTTCTTCTTCCCGTTGTCCCGCAGATAGCCAACTCCCCGATACAAGCCCTGCCGCCTCGTCCTTTCCCTCCAGTGAACCTCCCCCGTCCCACCTCTTGGCAGCAGTTGCAGCAACGGCTGCTGCCGGAACAGCAGCAGCAGGGACAGGGGCAGCAGCAACAGCAGGTGCAGCAGCAGCAGCAGGTGCAGCAGCAGCAGCAGCAGGTGCAGCAGCAGCAGCAGGTGCAGCAGCAGCAGCAAGTGCAGCAGCAGCAGCAGGTGCAGCAGCAATACCAAGGGCAGGGCCAAGGGAGTGATGGTCCAGTGAACGATGCCAATGAGTCGTTTCTCTTCGCCATGCCGTCAGTGAGTGGGTCTGACGTGGCCCAGGGTATAGGTTCAGGGTCGCAGCAGCAGCAGCAGCAGCAGCAGCAGCAGCAGCAGCAGCAGCAGCAGCAGCAGCAGCAGCAGCAGCAGCAGCAGCAGCAGCAGCAGCAGCAGCAGCAGCAGCAGCAGCAACAACAACAACAGCCGCAGCCAAATCAGCAGCAACAGCAGCAGCAACCGACCCAGTTCACACCTCCCCAGCAACAGATATTGCTGCCCCCCCAACAGCAGAAAACGCCTCCTCAACAGCGCAGGTGCTTGATTGATTGACCATTGACTTTGACTTGATTGAACGCTCTTCAGTGGTCAATGGTCGATTTCGTACTCTCCCTCCGTCCCTCCGTCCCTCCTTCCCTCCTTCCCTCCTTCTTTCCTTCCATCCCTCCTTATCCAGCTCTTTTTGCCCTCCCCTGGCTGCCCCCACCACACTCCCCCCACCCACCTCCTCTCTCCGCTCATCCTGTCCCTCTCTCACACGCACGTGCACAAGCAGCAATTGTCTTCTCCTTTTCTCCATGCATCTGTCTTGAGTACTTTCTGCTGTATCTCACCCGCAGAATGGGGCTAGCTAGGCATGGGCTCCATAGAAATATTAGGGTGCTGGAAACTCATGCTGGTGCATGTAATTTTTGTTGATTCCCAACTGCAGAATGGGGCTAGGCACGCCACAGCAACAGCAGCAACAACAACAGCAGCAGCAACAACAGCAGCAGCAGCAACAACAGCAACAGCAGCAGCAACAGCATCAGCAGCAGCAACAACAGCAGCAGCAGCAGCAGCATCAGCAGCAACAGCAGCAGCATCAGCATCAGTCACCCAACTATCCTGTATGACCTACCTACCTGCTGCAAGCGTTAGTGCTTGATTCCAAGCCTTCTTGTGCATGTTGCACCCATCGCGTTCTAGAGTGTGATGCACCTAGCGCGGGCAAGAGTGTATTGCACCGCACTCCACTGCACTTCACTGCACTGCAAAATGTACTTTCTCATGCCCGTCGCTTCTCTGCTATGTATAGCTGCGAGACCAAGTGTCAAAATCCGTTCGTCTGTCCCTCCCTGTCTTCATCGGGCTGCAGGGCCTGTTGCGGCTCAAGGCGCCCATCACAAGGAGCAAGTCGCAAGAGATTCAGTAAGTGCCGGGACTTAAGTGCCTGGACTCAGGTAAGTGACACGACTTTTGTAGGTCCCAATGACTGAGGTGTTGCCGGGTCTGGATTGTGCCAGGTTGGGGGGGGGGGTCTCGCTCGCGTCCTCTGAGTAACTAACCACCACTTTTAACCCTTGTCCTAAACCCCGAACCACAACAACTCTCCACTCCCGAAGCAGCTGGTGCCTCTAGAACCCTCCCTCCCTCCCTGCGCCCCTACCCACAACCGCAACAACACAGCCGGCTGGTGGGTGTAATTTCGAGTCGACTAGAAAATAATCCTCCCTCCCTGCGCCCCTACCCACAACCACAGCAACACAGCAGGCTGGTGAGCGCCCAAGGCGTGGCGCTATCCACAGACGAGCTGCTGCAGCACTCACTCAAGCTCACTAACACCCCAAATCCCTAACCCTAAAACCCTCCATTCCCACAGGCGGCTCATGAACGCCCAGGGCGTGCCTTTCTCCACGGACGAGCTGCTGCTGCTGCTGCTGCTGCTGCTGCTGCTGCTGCTGCTGCTGCTGCTGCTGCTGCCTTCAGTCAGGCTAGTCAACAGCCTAAACCCTCCCTCCCTTCACCCGTACCCCCCCCCATCACAGGCGGCTGGTCAATGCCCAGGGCGTGCCGCTCTCCACAGACGAGCTGCTGCAGCGACTGGCGTCGCCCTCGGACCTGCAGGCCACCATAGCCGCCCTGCAGGGGCCGCTGGGCCACGTCGACCTCGCTGCCCTCTCCTCCTCCACTGCTGCCCTCGCTGCTGCTGCTGGTGCTTTCAGTGAGGCGCCAACTAGCACCTTTAACCCTCTTACATTAAACCCCAACCCCCTTCCCCCCACCCCCAACACAGGCAGCTGGTTAATGCCCAGGGCGTGCCTCTCTCAACGGACGAGCTGCTGCAGCGACTGGCGTCGCCCTCGGACCTGCAGGCCACCATCGCCGCCCTGCAGGGGCCGCTGGGCCACGTCGACCTCGCTGCCCTCTCCTCCTCCGCTGCCGCCCTCGCTGCTGCCATCCTGGGAAACCTCCAGATACCTCTTCCTCCTGCTGCTGCTGCTGCCACGGGTGGTGCTGGTAATCCCGCTGCTGCTGCTGCCACTGCTGGTGGTAATGGCTTTGCTGCTCCCGTTGCTGCTCCTGGTGTTCCTGGTGCTCCTGGTGCTCCTGGTGCTCCTGGTGCTCCTGGTGCTCCTGGTGCTCCTGGTGTGAGTGCTGGACTGGGATCAGCAGCAGGTAGGCTCGGGGGGACTCCCCCTAAGCCTCCCATTCCGCCTTCCCCTGGAGGCAGGGGGACTGGCGCAGGGGGAGGGGGGAGAGGAGCGGGGGCAGGTGGGGTGATGCTTAGTGGAGTGAGGACAAGGCAGATGGCACGGGGAGGGCCTGTGCATCAGCAAGCAGGGTTGAACCCTGGGGTAGGAGACCAGCTGCAGGGGGGGCACCAGGGGCAGCAGCAGGGTGAACAGCAGGGACAGCAACAGGGGCAGCAACAGGGGCAGCAGCAGGGGCAGAAGAAGAGTAGTGCATCGTCGTTGGTGCATCGACTGCAGCACAAACTGGGGGCTAAAAACAGGAGAAATCAGAGTGCGCAGCAGCAGGCGCAGCAACAACAGCAGGGGCAGCAGGGAGAGGCGCAGCAGCTACAGCAGGGGCAGGTGCAGCAGCAAAAGCTGGGGCTAGGGCAGGCACAGCAGCAGGGACAGGCACAGCCGCAGGGGCAACCGCAGCAACAGCAGCAGGGGCAACCTCAACAACAGCAGCAGGAGCAGCAGCAGCAGCAGCAACAGCAGGAACAACAACAGCACCAGAAGGAGCAACAGAGGCAAGCACTGCTACAGGTGAGGCAGCAACAAGAGGGGCCACCGGTACTAGCTCAAGAGCAATCAGCGGCAACACCTGAGGGGCACAATCAGCACGAATTCCAGAAGCAGCAGCAGCAGGGGCAGGGGCAGGGGCAGGGGCAGGAACAGGAGCGGTACCATTCCCAGGCGAACACCCATTCCCAACCCTCCCCATCAGCCCTGGAAAGCCCTTCCGCCTTCCCAACCTCAGGCTCAGCAAATCCTGCTGCTTACCCAGCCTCAGGCTCGGAAGGGTCTCATCCTGCTGCAAGCGCAGGCGCGGTCGGTCCTCCCATGCTTAACTCGGGTTCGGTTGGGAGCGGCAATATGGAAGGCAAAGTGAATGGGAGTGTGATGGCTGCTATGGCGCCTGGAGGAAGAAACGTGTCGTCAGTGGTCAGCCTGCTTAAAGGGTACGTTTCCGTCCTCCTCCTTCTACGCTCCTCCTTCTACGCTTCCACAGCACCTTAGCTCGCAAATGAGGCAGCATGGGGAAGAAAGCAGCTCAAAGCCCCACCAGCAGCACCACCCCCCGCTTCACCCCTCTCTCCCCCACTTTTTAAGTCGGCTAAAAAATCCCTTTCCTCCCATCCCCCTTGCTTTCCCTTGCCCTCACAGAACCTTAGCTCGCAAACGAGGCTCCATGGGGAAGAAAGCAGCTCAAAGCCCCACCAGCAGCACCACCCCCCGCTCCACCCCTCTCTCCCCCTCTTTTTAAGTCGGCTAAAAAATCCCATTCCTCCCATCCCCCTTGCTTCCCCTTCCCATTGCAGCACCTTAGCTCGCAAACGAGGCTCCATGGGGAAGAAAGCAGCTCAAAGCCCCACCAGCAGCACCACCCCCCGCTCCACCCCTCTCTCCCCCTCCTCAGCCTCCCCCACCCCCACTCCCCCCCATTCCGATGCTCCCTTCCACCATCCCCATCTGCACCAACCGCTCACCACCCACTCCCACCGTGCCTCCCACTCTAACCCTCCTCCCGGTGTTGCTGCTGCCGCTGCAGCTGCTGTTGCTGCAGCAGCCGCTGCTGCTGGTGGTGGTGGTAGGCTGCCTGCCCTTGGTCGTTCCGCCAGTGGGGGTACGCAAGGGTATAACTGCTCTGCTGCTTCCGCAGCTGATGCTGCAGCTGCCGCTGCTGCTGATGGCAGGTGTCCTGCTCTTGGTCGGTCCTTCAGTGGTGGGGGTGCACAAGGGTATAACTGTTCGCCTGCTGCACGTGATAATGCTCCTTCTCCTGCTGCTGCTGGTCGTAGCAATAGTGCTGCACTTGCTGCTGCTGCAGCTGCTGCTTCTGGTGCCACTGGCACGGCTGTTTTGGGTGCTCCGGAAGCTACGGCAGGTCTGCAGTCACCCGGAGGTTCGGCATCAGGTCCGGCATCAGGTCCGGCATCAGGTCCGTGCACCTCAGAAGGCACTGTGGCCTCTCACCCTGTAAACATAAGCCGATCAGCATCTCGCCCCGGCACTCCAACCAACTTGCAAACAGGTCTACCTGGTTCCGGCCCTACTACTCCCACCATAGGGGGAGGTGGTGGTATACCTGGGTCAGGCTCGGTTGGTGGTACTCCCAAAGTGGTTGGATGCGGTGCTAAGGAGCAGGGATCTGCTCCTGGCACTCCTATCTTTGGGGCAGCGGGGTCAAGTTTTGAGATGGAGAAGGAGCAGCAGAAGCAGTATCGGGTGGTGGGAGCACAGCAGGTGCAGGAGCAGCAGCTGCAACAGCAACAGCAACAGCAACAGGAGAAGCAGCAACAGCAATGGCAGCAGGAGCAGGAGATGCAGGTGCGAAGGCAGCAGCATAACGAGAAGCAGCAGCAGCAGTGGCAGCAGCAACTACAGCACCAGCAACAACAGCAGCAGCAACAACAAATACAGCAGCAGCAGCAACAGACGCAGCATAATTCCACTCCCAACAGCACTCTTCCCCATCCCTCAGGCGTCAGAAACAGACTGCACAACCGGTCACTCAGGGTCCAAGTCCCCTCCTCCATTCCCCCCTCTTTCCTCCACCCCACCCCAGCTTTAGCCTCCCCAGGTGCACCTTCCCCAGGTGCACCTTCCCCAGGTGCACCTTCCCCCACTGCAGCAGGTGTACCTTCTCCAGATAGCCCTCTCGCCTCCCCCAGTCTCCTCGTCACTCCTGCCAGCCTGTCTCCCTTGGGGGAGGCTCGGCTGCTAAATTCCGGGATTGGATTCGAGGCGAGTCAGAGTCTGAATGGAGGATGCACAGGAGCAGGGGGCGTGGGAAGTGGTAGTGGTGCCTCTGCTGCTGCTGCTGGTGTTTCTGGGGGTGCTGCTGCTGCATTAGCAGGGGTGAAGAGAAGCGCTAGTGCCATGTCTTCTGACAGTCCCACAGCAGCACAGCAGCAGCTACAGCAGGCGCGGAGGGGTGGGTCTGGCCCTTTGGACCACTACCCCTGTGACGGGCCGTCCCTCGCTAGAACCGGCTCTCTCACTCCCTCTGGCGCTTTTGAGTCGACTCAAAAGCAGCAGGCGAGGAGGGGTGGGTCTGGCCCGTTGGACCACTATCCCTGTGACGGCGGGCCGTCCCTCGCTAGAACCGGCTCCCTCACTCCCTCTGGCGCCCACACCCCCTCGGCCTGCCTCACTCCCACTGTGCCCCAGTCTCCGTTTGGCGACTCCTCGCGGCAACACAGAGTGGAGCGACAACGCAAGTAAGTCCGCCGGATGCAGAGTGAAAAATGCCCTTATGCTTCGTTGTTGCCCGACTGGACTTTTTGTGTTTTGAGTCGACTCTAAACAAGGAAGTCCCCCTTGAGGTAGGGTGTAGAATGCCCTTATGCTTCTTGGTGGCCCGGACCGGACATTTTGTATTTTGAGTCGACTCAAAACAACTCCTCCGTGAGGCAGAGTGTGACATGCCCTTGTGCTTCGAGTTAAGTAGGTTCTTTGTGGCTGGGACTTTCATGCTCTCATCCCTTGTTTGTGCTCCTCTTCTTGCCATGTCCACACAGAATGGCGGAGGCCAAGGGGCGCACGGGGGGTGCTGCAGGTGCCGGGTTGGCATCGCCAGATGTGGCCAGCTTGAAGCGCAAGTGTGAGACTCTTGAAACGGAGAACCGGAGCCTCAAGACGTTCCAGAGCTTCATGAACAGGTGAGAAAGAGGAGCTCTGCTGTGCGGTGCTGTGCGGTTCTGTGCTTTGTTAGAGAGTCGGAAGTGATTCCAACATAGTTGGAAGTGGCTGACCTCTAGCGCAAGTGTGAGACACTTGAAACGGGGAATTGCAGCCTCAAGTCGTTCCAGAGCTCCATGAACCGGTGAGAGATAGTGTGGAATCCAATGCGGTGCTGAACGGTTAAGGAGTGCGGCTGTGGAGTTCATTGTGGTGCTGTGTCATAGCTTTGCAAATTTTATTTAATGGCAATACCTCAACTTTCTTCTCTTCTTTTTTTCCTCTTCTTTTTGCTTCTTCCTAAACGTGCCCACATATCACCCTTCTTCTTTGCGCTGTCCCTGTGGCCGTCACAGGAAGGACTCAGAGCAAACAACGCGGATAGAGCAGCTGGAGCAGGAGAACGCCCAGCTGCGAGCAGAGAACGAGAGGCTCAGGGAGGAGCTTGCTGCTGCTCGACAGACAGGAATGGCCATACCAAGCATGCCCACCATGCACGCTGCTGGGATGGCGCAGCCATGACATGGATGTGGGCGCACATGATAAAGCAGCTGGAGCAGGAAAAGGCTGAGCTGAGAGCAGAGAACGAGAGGCTCATGGAGGAGCTTGATGCTGCTCGGCAGACAGGAATGGGCATAACCAGCATGCCCACCATGCACACTGCTGGGATGGCGCAGCCATGACGTGAGTGCCGCCGCCGCTGCTGATGCTGCCGCTGTTTCCTCTGCTCGGCAGACAGGAATGGGCATAACCGGCTTGCCCACCATGCACGCTGCTGGGATGGCGCAGCCATGACATGAATGCCGCCGCCGCCGCCGCCGCTGCTGATGCTGCTGCTGTCTCCTCTCCTCGACAGTCAGGCATGGCCATAACCAACATGCCGGCCATGCATGCGCAGGGATGGCACAGCCATGACATGCGGTAATCACCTCATAGGAAGGTCATGAATGGAGTAGCTGGAGCAGGAGAATGCCCAGGTGAGGCAGAGCATGCCTGGCTCAGGAATCACCACAAGCAGCATGCCTAGTATTGGGATGCCCACCATGCATGCTGCAGGGATGGCGCAGCCAGCCATGGCATGACGTAGTTGCCTCATAGGAAGGTCATGGATAGAGCAGCTGGAGCAGGAGAATGCCCAGCTGAGGCAGAACATGAGGCTTAGGAATGACCACAAGCAGCATGCAAACCAAAGGGAAGGACAGCGTCCATGCCCCATGAGTGGCACAGCCATGATATGAGCTTACATATTAATCCATACAGTTAACTTGAGTAAAAGCAGTTTCTGGCTAATGCCTCAAATTTCAAGAGCTGCTTCCCACCCACTGCCTAGTACCTGCATTCCGACCCACTGCCTGTAATCGCCTAGTAGCTGCTTCCCACCCACTGCCTAGTACTGGTACCTGCCCACTTGCAAAGCCTCTGCTTGCTTCTTGCAATGCAAGGTAGAGATTTGGCTACATATTGAACTGAAGTACTTAAGGAATTGGCAAAACATGCAGAAATTAACAAACAGCAAAAACTAACCTCCAAATGAACAACCCCATAGTCAGTGTCAAAGCTGCCCAATCGAATCCTAAAGCAGCAAAGTGGGCCACCATTTTCAACAGCACCTCCTAGGCAGTGTGACACGTGCTGCTGGCAGGGAGTCTGCTGCCAAGGGCTGTTCCGGCTCAGCTGCAGCAACAGCAGCAGCACCAGTAGCAGCACCAGCAGCAGCGGCAGCAGCAGCAGCAACAGCAGCAGCAGCAGCAGCAGCAGAAGAGGCAAGTCCACCGGTAACATGCCAGCAGCACCAATTGAATCAGCATCAGATACAACCTTAAAGACAATCATTATCGTACGCATGACAACACTGGGGGAAAGGGCATGGGAGAAAGCAGGGAGGAAGACAAGGCTTGTTGCATATGCATGGAACCCTGCCAACCCGTTGAACTCTTGAACCTGATTGGCTCTCCTCAACCTATTTACTTCATGTGTTGTAGTAAGATTTTTGTACAAATATGGCAGTTCTTACCAGTTGGCAGAGATGAGTGGGTTCGCTGTTGAAATTACTGAACTTGAGTTCGTGTCCGTGGGGATGACATGTCAACATGGCAGTGTCATCACGAAGCGCGCGGAATTACGGAGTGTCAAGCACTGTACCTTCAGTGTCAAAACGAAGCGCAGCACAAAATCCTGCGACGCAACGTGATTTGTTGGGCACGAATTGTTGCAAGACCTTGCAGTCGCACAAGACTTTACATCCACACGCGATTTCTTGCAAGACCTTGCGGTCGTACAGAACTTTACATCCGTCGATCGGGCAGGTGTGGGTGGAAAGAATTCTCGATCCTACCAGTTAGTTGGCTGGATGGAGAAACACGATTCGCAGAGCGGGATGTCCGACTAAATTTACTGGCTGGCAGTTTTCATGTCGTTGACACTCTGCCAACAATGTTGGCAAGTGTCAAAACCAGAAGTTGACACTCACAAGCTTGACATGTCATCCCTACGGACACGACCTGACTTGACAGTAATTGGCGCACGAATTTAACTCCGGTGTCATGTCAGCTCTCAATCGGCAATGCTCGAACTCATTCATTCTTCTTGGTGGGGTGTGTAAATTGAGATTATCCTGCTTTTGTGAGTGTCAACACGTGGTTGAGGTTCTCCTCAAAGATAAAGCTGGTAGCAAATGTTTTAAACCGTGCAATTCATGATGGTTTGTTTGGGTCGTGGAGCTGGCTAAAATATCGAGATCCTGTCTTTCGTGGATTGAAGAAGTACGTCACTGTCATATACCCTCACAATTATCGGTCTTTTCCCAAAATATCTAAAATGTTTTGTCTCCTGACATTACGGGAAAAGCGGTTCGTAGTCGTAGACATTCTGTACAGCTCATGTTGTTGCTTGGCATTGGCGACGTAGATCAGCGTTCGCGAGTCGCGACGTCGCATTTCCATTGGACATTTGGAACGCGCCGTCGCATTTCTATTGGACATCGGAAAAATCTTTATCACCCTGACAGCGGCTCAATCATCGTGCGATATCAGACTTTAGGGTCAAATAAAACCAGGGTCTCACGTAAGAAAAATCGTCATCAACTGCAAAACAATTGAAGCTGAGTCACCCTGTTTGAGGTGGCGAAGTCTAGGGGTTGGTTTGGCGTTTGACTGTGCGACACCTCCCGTTTTTGCCTGTGATGCAATTGCAAAACATTTTGTTGGTACATGAGACTCACAGGATGCTCGAACATTTTGCTGGTGTTCTAGCTTTGGCACCGAACCAATTTCCGTGCCTAGATGGTTCAGACACAAACTGCGATTTGTGTTTCCTTCGCTCCCCTCGTCACACCGTTGTCATTCTTTCCACCTCGCCAACCAATCCTAACCAGGGTGAAGTCATCAACTGCAAAACAAATGATCTACGTGAGACCCTGGTTTTAACCGCACTTGACCTTTCAAGACTCCCATGCCACCGCATTTGTCACTTGCTGTTTCCCGTGCATAATTGCGAGTCCCAATCCCTCCCCCGTCACATCAACCCCCGCAGTTCTCTAATGACCAGCAAATGGCACAATTACAGCTTGTGGATGCTCGCGATTCACTAAACCCAACCCAAACGGACCTGACCCAGCACAACCCGTAGCAACCCCATAATGAGACCGGCAAGCCCACAGGAAGTTAGCACCCAGATCGCACTTTCTTACAATACGTCATTGGTTCAGTAGAAATTATGTTGGCAGTCCAGCAGAGTTTCCATGTCTTATCTTGAAAACTCAGCCCGTAATCCTTCCTATTCGTTCCCTTTCTCGGCTAAAACGCAGTTTAGGTTTCTCACACAACTGAACAGGTTTTGCTTCTCGCGAAAGGGATTCTGGGAAGTCATAAGTATTGCAGCTTGAGTCGGAATCACGCGCCGTTCACACACGATGGCAGGCGCAGAATACCCTCGAGTCGCACATTCGACCACATTTCTTCACGACGCGCTGCGCGCTTACGCTAGTGCTACAGCATGCCTCTTCCTGCTACTCCTCTACTACTCACCATCGACGTCTTTTGGTCCCATATCGAGTCAGTTTATTTCGAAACTGCCTGCTGCTCGCCGCGGACGTCGGACGGATCTGCCTCCTGCAGCGCAACTTTTTGCCGTGCCGAGGGCGGAGAAAGCATTCACGGAGAAAGCACCACCCGCAGAAGAAGCATCTTCCACGGAGCGCGCGGAAGCGGCGTCAGCGGGCGGTGGAACCAGCGGCGGATCCGCCGAGTTTAGGGTTGCGCGTATCCGCTACCTCGCCGAAGGCTTCGGCGGCTCACACGGCGGCTCTTAAGGCTATTTTCTTGGCTGCGCTGCTGCCCATTCCAGCGAACAAGCTGAACGCGTGAACGTGGCCCGGCGTAACATGCGCCGAAAACGGCGCTGTCGTTAGGCTAAACCTCACGAGCACCGTCAGCCGTCTCTTGCCTCCACCCACACCTCGACTTTGCAACCGCACTGCGCACGAACGCGGTGGCGAATTCCCCGCGACCCTCTCCGTATCTATCGGCCATCGTGGAAAAGGGAAGTGCGAAAAAAAAACCTAAAAGTTTATGTTTCGTAACTTTCCAGTTCCATTTTCCGCGCAAGAAAAAAGTCGTAGTCGAAAATTGTGATAGCGTCAGTAAGTTGCGAAGTGACTTTGCCGTCACTTTCCCAACACAAACTGTACACTTTGATGCGATCGTCTGGTATACAGTAAAGCAACAGGGAAGATGGAAAACGTCACTTTTGATCAACCTATGCGAACGTGTCACGACAATGACACGTGGCAGACGACGTACTCGAGATGAAACTCAGACAAGCTGACGTGTGTCACTGTACCCTAACGACAACCGTCGATCAGATTAAGAACGACTCGCGTAATCGTGACAAGTGGCCAACTCATAGAGCGTTTTTAGTGTGCGTTTCCAGCTTCTGACAAGTGAAAACACGGACATAACGTTTTGCTGCTGCTTCTTGAGATTGCCTGCGAGATAGCAGAGGCGATAAACACTCGTGAAAAACGTGAATTATGAAGTTTCGTACTCACCAGAGAAAATCGTTGCTGGTTTGTAGAGTGAAGTACTTAATGGCTAAAACTAAACATACTGCGCTTCTGGTTGACGGTATCCATGCAAAACCAGGTACACTCTGCAAAACATGCAAACACGGGGTGCTATGTCGAAGAGAAAAGGCCCCGTCCTCGCTTGGGCGAAGCCGACCGGCATTTCGGAACAGAACGGTGTTCGTTTCGTGGTCATCGGCGACTTCGGGGACTTTTATCTGTGTGCGACGAGTCGTTTGTCGACGAGATTAATTGGTCGAGGTAGAAGTGTTTCCTCTGCTTGATCAAAGTCCTCGTCTAGGAGGAGCTTGTCGACAGGAGTAAAACGGCGTCGAAGACGAGCCTTTCTGATAGACGGAATTGGCAAAATTGGTGTTTCGACGGATTGCTGGTCGACAGAATTTAGTTCGACGAGTGTTTCGTCGAGCAGAGTGATATTGGTCGACCAGAATGACTTGGC